GTAAGTAAGCTGGCCATATGCGATCACGGACATATATATAGGCATATCTTATCTAACGAATCGTTTAGCAAGTCTAACTCGTTTCAGTGGCGTGTGACTCGGCCGAACTGGCGATCTATGAATGAAAGCGACTGACTGGGACTCAGTTGAGAGAAGAGGAGATGGGGAGTACTGGAGAGCGGGGCTATGCTAATCGGTGGGATTATAATTAATTAATTAGCCGGCAGCGATCTCACAACCCATCTCTCCATCTTCATGGTCGGACATGTGCAGGTCTCCGCGAACGAGTTCGTTGCCAAAGTCTTTCGTTTCTGACTTTCAGCGAAGCGTCAGAAATTTAATCAAAAATTTTATAAACGCTCGGCGGCCAAATTGCACATTTAATGACAATAATTTGCGTAATGGATTTTCATGTTCTCGTAATTGAATTTATTTTAATTTAAACTAAATTACGCTACGCGTTACACGAATTGGGATCGGAGCACCAGCAGCAACAGTCCCTCGGCCTCGGAATATATAATTTTATGCGCTCACGCGGCCGCTCCACTAATTGATTATAATTCTGTCAGTCGCCACCGTTGCCCGGCTGCCGGTTCAGGTGGGTCTGCTCCCCTGTTTCCCAGTTTCAGGTTCCCATTTTTCAGGCTCTGGGAGGAGACACTCAAATCGACCATCTCCCTGCTCCACATTTCGCGCATTACTTCGCGCTCGTTACCCTGCTCGGGGCTGCAGATCCAGCCCATCGCCAGATCCATCAGCATAACCAACTCCATCATCAGTCCCAATGCCCATCATCATCAACAGCATCATGCTGATGAACTTCGATCACTCATAGCTAGAGATGGGTCAATATTTTTAGTGAAAAGTGTTTTAGTATCAATAAAATGAATTTGAATTTAAGACGAATTTTAATCTTATTTTTTCCATTCTTTAAAATCATAAATTATATTCTTATAATTTCCATGATTTTTATTATCTTATTATTCTTTTTTTTTTTTTTTTTTTTTATTAAAATCTGCAAACCTATATTTTTTGAAACATGCTTTTTCTAAATTATGGTCTAAACTTTGAGAAGGAGAAAAACTTTTTGAAGGGGTTTCCTGTGATTTAAAATAAAATAAATTTTCCCTAAAGAGTCACGCTCTCCTCGCTAGTTTAAAATTGCAGTGCCTGACAGGTGTTTTGGCATGGAAATGGCGATCGATTCGCTTCGTCGCAGCCTGTTAATAAATACTCATCGCCTGGCACTCTTAAGAGGAAAGAAATGCAGGGAAACTGGGGGCTCGGTAGGTGTGCTGTAAAATTGTTTGATAAATTTCGTAATAGTGGGACATTATGTTTGCTTCCGCTCGCTGTTGCCACAATTTACTTTTTATGAATGTCAATGGTTTTTTAATTAATTGCAGGCCATTTTCGGGCTGCCCCTTTCGATGCTATACGAGCTTTTCTCTTTTTTTATATGCAGATATATATATATATACTTCGCTTCGGGAACTCCCATAAATCTGAAATCGATCGTCGGCCATTAATGCAACCCAACTCGATTCGATGCGATTCGATTCAACGCAATGCGATGGAGGATCGTTAAATTTGTCTCACTGGATGTGCCAATAACAATTATCTATGTCCATAAAAATAATTTCCAAATTAAATCTCTGCAGTGCTCGTCAAATCTCCTGGAGATTAAATGGCATTTGTTTAATATTCGTACACGGTATTTATAAAAGAACGGGTATGCTTCTTTTTAAAAGAGCAATATGACACTTAAATACATTTTTTCGGATTACGATAAAAACCGAAGCCTTTTTTTAATCTTAACAAAATGCATTTTAGTTATAAAACCATGGGTAATTTTTATCTTTTAGTCGAAAATCCTAACGAAGCCCTTTGTACTTTTCCGATTTGTTCCACTGTCAGTTCATTAAAGGCGCTTAAATTGTGTTTCAATGTGGAACTTGGTCTTGAAACCGGGCTTGGCACTCTACACGAGCGCCAGAAGCGCAGAAATCCAATCAAAACGCAGCACAAGACGCCACCAACACCACAGCTCCGACTCAAGACCAAGACTCAAAATTGGAGTTATAGTCGAAGTTGGACCTTAAAACCAACACCGATGTGGCCCAAGTCGACCCCCTGTGCGAGCCATTGTCGTAAATCACACATTAAAATATTTATTTGTATTTTTACTTGTTCAGAAATTAGCTAAGAGCCCCCAGTCGGGATTCGAAATGGACTCGGGGTCGGGAGTCGGCAGTCGAGAGTCGGCAGTCGAGAGTCGGAGACTGGCTTTGTTGTGCGAGTGAATTTTAATTTCCTTTTTATGATATTTTAATTTATTTCAGCGTAAATCAAAACCCAAACGAGACTTGCTGTTGCTCTCTTTCTTTTTCTTCCAAGCAGAGGCTGCACTTTTAATAAATTAGATTACCCTTCATATTATCACTTCAAATATAATATGACTATGAAAATCGATATTTTTCTTGATAAAGGCAACCCCAATATTATACTTATATAATAGTTACATATTACAAAACAGTAAACCGTTTTTAAATTTGTTGAAACGTCGTTGTTTTTCTTTTCGTAGAATTTCCTATTTTATGTAAACATTTTTGTTAAATTGTTTTATGATTATATATATTTAAGACAAAAAACGTATACGTATACATAAGTTTACATTATAAATTTTTTATTTTTTTCTATATATATTTAAAGGGCACTAATTTACGACACAAACTTCAAAATACATAATTTTTTTGAGTGCAGTTCTTCGGTTCTTATTTGGTTTTTGGAATGGAGCGGCGCTTCCTCGGATCTCCGACATCCGCGCGAACTGCATAAATCTTGAAAGGCTCAGAGTAAGCCCTTAAAACGAGGAGTGGATCGGAATGGGAGTGGATTTGAGGTGGACTAACAAGCTGGAAAAACACTCTAGAGGCCTGGCATGCAGACAAAGATTGCTTTTTCACAGCTTGTGGTACGTCCGGCAGTTTATTAATTTGACGTTTCCAGTTGCAGGCCGGCAGTGCCCGAGTTGATCTCGGCCTGAACCAGCCAGAGAGCAGTTAACGGTGCAACAATTTGTATACATTTTCAGCTCCAGAGGGTGCTCCTTCATTTTTTTGGGCGGGGACGTGGACGGGGTCCCACAACAATTAGTCCAGAAATGGGACCTGATATTCGGTTCCATCTAATTAAGCCGACCATTCGTTACAGGTTCCCCTTTAAAGCTGTACGAGAAGCTCAAAAAAGCTCCGTAAACTGTTAGCTGAGTTTTGGGCAAGTCCAAAAGATGGCGATTGAGTTGGGTTCACTCTTATACGCTGTAAAGTATGCAATTTTTAGGGGGTTGTCATGCAGGTTGAAAGTCTTTCTCCTTAAACTGTTGTTCGATCTAAGCGGCAGAGAAAGTTTGCAGGCCAACAATTTAAAGTGCGTTATTTTAGCCACCTTTATTAAATTCATAGGTGACTGTAATATGTCGAATTCCAATTATAAGGTATCCTTAACAAATTCCCACGACTTACAAATTTTTTTTAAATTTAGAATTTTACTTTAAGGATTCAACAACAAATTTATCTCCTTCAACCTTGATCTGTTACGTTGTCCTGTTACGTTACGTTGTCCTGTTACTTTCCCCATCAAACTTGCTGCCATTCAACATTTGAAAAACTAGGTCAACTGAAGTTATATGAGGCATTTAGGGCTTTAGCAGTTATGTTAATAGAACCATTAAAACGACTGAAAGAATTCATTTTCATGAGGGGTAGTTATCAGAGTGAACCCTTAACAGACTTCTGGTCAACAGCCCCTTGAAAATTGTTTCTCAACAGAGCTTTGCACTCATAGACTCAACAGTTATGTTAACGACTGGAAGTGTTCATTTTAGTGAGGGGTATTAGCCAGATGAACCCTTAACAGATTTTGGCCAACATACCCTTTAAAATTGTTTGCCAACAGAACTACCTACATATGTACGTATGTAAAATTATTTCTGTTGAGACAGAATGAGAATTTCACGCTGTTGACATTTTGCTGTTGGGCGGAAGACAGCGGATAAGTTAATGTACAATCTCTGTTCGCTTTAAAAGCATATGAGGCGATGTTTTTTTATGCCTGAACAGAGTCACCCGCCCAGACTTTACCACCCACCATCCACCCACCCACCTATTGCTGTTTACACGCCTTGAGATGAGGGGGTGGCATTTGCATAAAGCAGTCATGTCGAGTCGTATGACGATGACGATGCCGCCAACTTGTTAGCGGACGCTGGCATTTTTACTTGCATATGCAGAGATAATGCGCCGCCCATTGCCGCCCAATGGCCACGTCCTTGCCGCCCCCTTCACAGCTCGACCGACTGCCACCCACACACGTCACTGCTCCCTGCTCCGGGTTCCGTATTCCGTATTCTGTGCAATGTCATGGCTGCGTGCGTAGCTAAGAGAGCACATAAGTCCCCCGGATAGACGAGCCACTCCGTCTCCGTGTTCGTGTCCGCTCCTTTGGGTGAAGGATGGCTGGATGGCAAGGCGGAGGAGCCAAGGACGCGGATACTATTTTTGCTGATTAGTGATATATGCATGAACATGTGGGGTCGGATACAAACGGATTCATTCTCAGAGGAAAATAACGAGACTTAAGGAGAATGGCTGCACGACAAACGCAAATGCAAATGAATTAAATCAGCTACATTATTTTAGATTTTGCCAATTTCCATCAAACTTATTAGTTAGAAAACGCTTTGCTTTGCCTATGACATTCGATACCGTTGAGAATTTAAGATTTTTAATGTAGGTAAAAGATCTTACCCACGGAAATATGGAAAAAAACATTTATTTTACTTCTATTCGATGGATAATGAAAAAATTAATTAAAAATTAACTATAGGGTTTATTTGGTTTTTGTGTCAGATTAATAATTTCGAAGACATCAGTTTGACACTGGCTTCGTGTTTATTGACATTCTTCTTATTTAAGACTTCAAATAAAAGCATAGTGTGATTATTTTTTTCGGTGTAGTTTATTAAAATTCACAAAAGTGTAGTTTGTTTTGGTCACTGGTCCTTACAGTTTTATCAGTGAAAATTAGTAATCATAGTTAATGCTAGTGAACATCTTTCAGTATTCGTCATTGTTGTCCTCCTGGTGTTCCAGTTGCTCCTCTAACGTTTCTTCGGTTTTCTGGTCTGTAGTTTCTTTTTTCTTTTCTTCTATTTTCGAGGAACTCTCTTGGTCTTCAGATTTAGATTTCATATCCCTAATTTCATCCAAATCCGATTCATCCTGGTTGTTTGAGTTAATTGTTTCCTGATTGGGATCTTTCGTACAGGTTTGTTCTCTTTCGGACTCCTTATTTTCCTGGGATTTTTCTGGAAAAGGCAATGCCCGCAGTCGCAGCACCATATCTTCGAGGGTTTCGGGTGCCTCCTCTTTGGCAGCTTCTTTTTCAGAAGATCGCTTCTTGGCCGCATCATCTTTTCGGGTGGCAGCGCATAACTGAGATTGCGGTCTGCTCGTCATCGGGTTCTTGGGAATGGCTCCCGTGGATTGTAGCTTCAATGCCAGTTGACTGGGGGTGGTGGTCACAGTTGCGCAACAAGCCGCTCCGCCGACTTCCTCCTCCGCTTCCTCACCCACAATCCTAGTGCTGGCTATGGAGTTGACCGAACTGGTGGCTTCCTCGGTCGGCACCGTTTGCTCAACTAGTTCAGCCTCCTGTCGCCGACTGGCCTCCCTTTCCGCAATCCTGTTGATCATGGCCGTTCCCCTTTCGGATGTGGAGCTCAACCTGGCAATCAGTTCTTTACCCTGCGCCTCCAGCAGACGAAGACGTTCGGCCCTATTGGCCGATACCCTCTCAATGTCCTCCAGTCGCTGCTCGACAGTTTGCGAGATGCTAGCCGAGGTTTGGGGCTGCTCCTCCTGCTGCTGAGGATTAGAACAATGCTGCTCATGCAGCGTATCCAGCTTGGTGGCCAAGGTTGCGCCGCGTTCAGTATTCCTTGAGAGCTGCGATATCAACTGCCGACTCTCCTGCTCTAAGCGCTGGATTCTCGCTGTTCTCCTGGATGTATACTCCTCTTCCTCAGCGGTTAGTGGGGATTCGTCTTTGGATGGCGGAAGAACAGCAGCTTCCTCCTCTGTGTTACTTTCAAAGCTCGCCTCGCGACTTGGCGCTCTTCTAATCCTGTCTAGGGATTTCTTAAGATAGTGTCCTCGGTCTGCAGTACGCCTAATCCTGGACATAAGTTGGCGGGACTCCTCCTCCAGGCGTCCCAATCGCTCCGATCTCTTCCTGGTATACTCTTCCTCTCGGGGAGTAAGACTTCCGGTGGCTGGTGCTGAACTGGCCCTGGTCATTCGCTCCATACGCTTCCTATTGATGAATTCCTCCAGGGGCACAGCATGCTGGACAGGTGAAATGTCATCTTGGAACTGGCACAGCTGGATCTCGAGGCGTTCGCGGTTGCCAGAGGTTTCCAAAACCTGCTGGATGAGATTTTTGCATTGCTCCTCGAGCTTCTGAATGCGACTGACTGTGCCCGAGCTGCTGGGTGAATCTGCCTGGCTCCTTTGTCTGCTCCTAGAACTGTGCGGAGTCTTTGCTGGTACTCCACCGTGCGCTCCGTCCTCCTCATACTCTTCTTCGGCAGGATCCGTTCCTTCCTCTCGCCAACCACAAGTCGGTGGAGCGCTGTTCCAGCGCAGCACTATATCCTCGGAGTCATCTTCTTCGCCTGCGAAACCCTGACGACCAGGCGAGGTGCTCTGCATCCGCTTAATCTTGCGCGTATGCTCGAACTGATCCCTGAGAAGCTTCCTTCGACAAACGGCGGATAGAGTGGGAGCCTCCTCCACTGGATCTGCAGCACAAATAACCTCACGCTCCTCATCCGATTGAGGTCCCGAGTCGCTATAACCACTCTCCGCCGAGTGATTAGCATCCTCCAACTTTCTCCTAGCAAACTCCTTTCGCCATTCGTCACACTGCTCCTGGCTCTCATCGTTTTTGGCCCTGGCCAGAGCCCACTTTCTGCGGCAGTACTCCAGCTCGTCCTTCAGTTCGCTCAAGAGACGCCTCTTCTGCTGCAGTTGGTAGCGCAGAATCTGCTCCTGCGTGTGAAGCTGGCGATGCTGGCGCTGCATCTTACCCACCAGGTGCCACGTTTTGGTTAGCTCCAAGCTCACCCCACTCAAACGCTTCTCCTGCTGGTTGAGACGATAGTCCAGGTGGCTGTTGAGGGTCTTCAAGCGGTTGGTTTCCTTCACCAGCGACTTCTTCTCCAAGATAAGATCCTGTAAAATGGTAAAATGCATTTTAGTGGGGATTTAATCTGCACCTAAACTTTAAATAATTATGGTTGGTGAGAACCAACCTAAAAACTGGAAGCTTGAATACCCTTACAACCACAGTAGGCCATTAGTACTGCCTTTTCTTAGTCGTTTCTTGTATTTTGTATATGGTAGCCTATGATGCATTTGCATGAATTTAAATAAAGCTTTATAAAATTAAAAAAATCGAAGAAGTGTTTACTGCATGACTAAGCTAAATCCTTGAGATTAAACAAATATCTGACCAGTACCAAAACGTAACCGCTTGTATTCAAGGGTAGCTATATGCAACATGTTCTCTGTCAACGGCAACTGACCGATAAATTCAATTACGTGCATAACAACGGACTCGGCTGCCAAGACCTTGCCCCAAAGACCCGCCCACTTCGTCCGATGCACTTCCACTTCCACTTCCCTTCTACATTGATGCTCGGCAGGACGTCAGCAATAATGAAGCTTCTCGTGCTCGGCCGCCCGCTCGGCACTAGACTATATAAAGCGCTTAAGTGAATAATGCAAAACTTTGCAACAGCCACAGACGGAGATCCCTGAAGCGGGAATCTGGGTGGGGAAAAATTGGGACTCTGGCAGGCTGCACTTCATCAGCAAACCGGATACGACAACTAACAAGCCCGATTGTCCGCAGCACTTGAAAGGGAAGGAACAGTTGGAGGAACTGCGACTGAACAGCAAAAAATTGTGTATTAATAATACTTCTATACCCAAAATTAAAAACATAACTTTAAGGCATAGGAGAAATTTTCTTTTAACTTATCATAATGCTTAATAAAAATTTAAGAAATAGTCGTAAATCCTGGCTGCTATTTCCAAAACCAAAAAAATGCTAATATTTTGACCGCAGCTTTAAATATGTAACATAACTTCTAACTTGAATTTAGTGATCAATAATAATTATATTTTTTTTCCTGCGTAGTGACCTGAAATTTGGTATCTTCTATAGCATAGCAAAACCAAATTTTCCCACCATTATACAAACTTTAAAAACTGTAATATTTTGTTATTTCTCTCAGTGGAGCAAGTGGGCTCACCTTCAGTTTGATGTAGGTCTTGCTGACGCTAAGCTCCGGTGGCTTGCGGTGGGACTCTCCTCCGTCCTTTTCAGGAGCAAAGGAGGTGGAGGAGGATTCAGCAGGAGCCGCACTCGAGGAAGCATTTCCACTGCAGGACGGCAGCTCCTCAAACTGCACGCGCTCGATTTTGTGGTGGCTCAAGAGCTCCATCAACACTTTCCAAACTTTTGGCAAGTTGCCAATGATTTCTTGGGCCGAGGCAACTTTTCCCATAATTTCGGGCTCATGGCTTTTTAACGAAGCTCCCGAACCCCTCTTCCGGTGCTTTTTGATGACTCCCCCTCCTCCTCCTGCTCCTGCTTCTGCTCCACAACTGTCTACGGTGTCCTCGTTTGTGGGTGTGGGCGTGGCGCTGCGACTTTTTTCTGATTCCTCGGCGCAATCCCCATGGCCAGTGGCCTGCTCCACGAGCTCGAAGAGCAACTTGGGCAGAGTGGCGCCATCGCTGCAGTTTCCCTCGGCCTGGGTCATTTGATTGAGCAGCTGGCGATTCTCCTCCAGCATTCGGTTGAGGCGATCGATGTCCATGTTGCTCTTGTCATTAAAGCCCATGATCAGCTGGCTGAAGAGCTGTTTGATGGTGTTGGGGATATTTTAAAATTCTAGTACATTATTTTCAATCTTATCATACTTACCAAGTTTACAGCTCCCACTTGCTCGCTTAGCAGACGCTTCTCGAACTTGTGCTCGCTGCACTCTTCCCTCAGTTTGGCCAGTTCCTCATTGGCCGTCTCCACCTCTTTTAAAAGGCTTTGATTGCGCTCCTCAAAGTTTTTGGTCCTAATTTATGAAAAATAGTATAGAATAATAATAATAAGAATAAATCAATGATTTGCTATTGAGATGTCAATTATGTTAGTTTTTTAAAAACAACGAAGTTATGTCGAGTATCGTGTTTTTTTTAAGAGTGGAGACTTTTGAAAATTATAATTAATATTTTTTTACAATTCTAAAAATTTGGTTTTAATTGACTTTTTTAACCAATGAATGAATAAGTACTAAATTTACCTAATTAGGAGTTCTGAGCAATATTCATTAAATATTTTGCTTTTTTCTTCCTGACAACAAATTTCTTAACTATTTAGTTTTTTTCATCCTAATCTACTTACTTCTCCTGCTCGGCCGTAAGTTCGTCCCTCTTGATCGATATTAAACGCTGAAGATTTTCGTACTCGGCCGCAGCCACTCGCTGACGCTCCTCATAAAGTTGCCTCAGCTGGCGTATATTCACCAGCTGACGCTCGTACTCCTGGCGAAGGTTATTCGACATAATCTTCATCTCACGTTCGCTGAAGGAGTTCTCGATTTGCGTAAGTTTCATCTTGAGCTATAAGTAAGAAGAGTAATTGCTGTACCAAACGATCTAAAGGATATTTTATTTACTAGCTCACCTGAGCACACTGTTCCTCCTTAACACTCAGCATTTGCTTGCAGCAGGAGATGACTTCCTTGAGGGTTCCCACCTGGCGTTGAACCACTTCCACCTCGCCGCGCAGCGACAAATTTTCAGCCTGGACCTGCTGCAAAGCCAATTGAGCACTGGCCAATTCTATATTGGCATGACGGCTTCTGGAGCTGGGATTCTCATCATCTGGATCGGAATCTGGTCTACTAGCTATATTCGTATCCTCACTCTGCACCTGAACATCTCCCTCTTCACTTTCATATTTTTCAGGATTTCGGTTTTTGGATTTTTCCAGAGCCAATTGTTTTTTGAGATTATCAATTTCATCTCGAAGTTCCTTCACAGCATTCTGGCGAACTTCTCTTTTTAGACGCAGCTCTTCCCTAAAGTCCTCCAGGCTTTGTTCTTTTTCAGGAGAGTCCTCTGATTTATGTTCCAATTTATCAGGAGTTTGAGTTTTCCGGTTTTCCATTGCCAATTTCGGAGGCTCCGCCTCTGTTCTTCTTGCTGTATCTTGAGGGGCCTGTTCCAGAATCAGATTCTGATGCTCGATGTCGTTCCACCAGGGCTCGTCATCGGTGGCCAGCTGCACCTGCATCTGCGTATCATCTGCAGACTGTGTGGACTCGGCATTTCCCATTTTTACCAAGAGAACAAAGGCACACGAGCTGTGGTATGCGGTTGTGATGGGCTGTTGTTTACCCCGATGCAGATACAGATGACGATGTGGATGGTCTTCGCCTGGCAAGCGTTAAAATTTACGATCCGCTTTAATGCGACTTTTCTTCTAGAGAAAGAATGAGTCTTCGTCGGTACAAAGAAAATCCAACGATCCACCGATCTACAGCAGATCGCTTCCAATTGATATGAGCACCAATACAGAGGGCCGTGAAAACAGCAACAAATATCGATGTGTATATATCTGTGGGTGACTATCACACACGAGTTTTTCGATTTCGCAATAATCTATTGACTTTCACTTTTCAACCAAGGATGTGCGACAAAATTATGTCTCGTTATTTATCACAAATACTTCACTTAATCAACTCACTTCGAAAATAACGTAAAGTAACGAAAGTAATTATCTAGTATACATATGATAAAGTAAATATATGTATTCGTGGCGTTGGAAAATTTTTTCGATTCTAATATTCTATCCGTACGACGGTCGAACGCAACTTTTCGCTTAGCCTGCTCGGGAAAAACTGAGAAAAAATCGAATAGATTGGTCTATTTTTAACCTACTTTGGTCTCTCCTGTCTTTACACGATTTTGTCTTCGTGCGAGTGAATTCTCGCATAAAATGCTTTGTTTGTGCATTAGAGAAACTACATTTTATGTTGAGGGCTTAAGAATTAGTCTGAGAATCTTTTGAGGACCCTCTCCCTCAAAATTTCTTAATTATTGTTCTAAGTTTTATGCACATTTTAATTAGGAAAATAATGAAACAGTTTAAAATTAGATCCACGCGTCATTTTAATTATGACTAATGGGCAAATCAAAACAAAACTCTTGCCACATCGCATGTCAGGAAAATGAAGATCACGACCAGTTGTCAAGAGCTGCCAGAGATAGATCCGCAACACTTACAAGGTCATTGATCTTCAATATTGCGAAAAGGATCTTGTCAGAAATTGGATCTAAAGATGGTTGACCTTTAAAGGCATATCTAATACTAAGAAAAATAAGAATGTAACTAATTAAGTTAACACATTTAAAAAAAAATTTTAAAAATAATATAAATACTGAAAACTATCTTAATTTTCCTTCCCTTTTTTTTAAGCAGGGTGCTTATTCAACATAAACTCTCCTTAACACAATCTCATTTGACCCACATCCATAAGCTATTGTCAGTCCCCAAAGAGAAAGCATCTCTGGACCTTTATTAACCAATTTGTGATGCGTAGGGCGCGTAGGATTCCGAACTCAGTGGAAAACTTCAGCGGGTAAGTTTCAAAATGAAAATGCATTAGCTAGCTGATTTTTGCACCGCTTCCTTTTTTTTGGCTCCAGTGCGCGCATTTGAAAAGTGGGAAACACGCAGCAATGACTTTGAACCAAGGATGCGAGGAAGTTTTTTCGAGGAAGCACACATTTGGCAAAGTGTCGCCAGGCTTGAAAATGAAAATCAACAATGCAATTTGTTTTGGTTCCCCCTGCTGTTTGTTACGATTGAAAAAGGGCAAAAAAAGCCGGCTAAAAACTTTAAGCGCCAGGCAAAAGTTGGGCCCAGCCACGCCTTCAACTTTACAAAGATTGCACACAGGCAAATGTGAGGCGAAAGTTGAAAGTTGAAAGTTGCGAGGATTCGAGAATACGAGGATACGAGGATACGAGAAGCAGCCAAGGACAGCCCGGAAAAAGTTGCAACAAAATGCATTGTGTTCATAATAATGGAATAATAAACCGAAGCGACTGGGCTCAGATTGAGGTCCTCACCCTTATCTTTGGGCTCCTCAGGTTTGTCCTTGGCTGATTTGCGGAACAGTCAAACTTCGGTCACTGCAACACTCCAGATATAAAATGTCTGTTCTTCCAATCAAATTTTATAACTGAATTTTTAAAACACACCATCGCCAACTTTCCAAAACCTTGCCAACCTTGGATTTAAAATCATAGAGAACAAATTTGACTACTAAAGGAAACAACAATGAAAGTCAAATGTAAGTAAGTATACATAGCACATTTGTAAAACTTTAAAAATTCATGCTTAAACCAATTTTGATTTTCAAGAAAATAATAATATTTAAGTTCACTTTGTTTTGGGTAAATTTTCGATAAAAATGAAGATGGTACCCCTTATAAAAAATGCTAAATCGAAAATATGAGCTTAATATTCATTAATTATATCTTGGCTTCCGTGCTTAGAATTTTTACTGTATTTGTAAAGTTTGCAGTTTCACTTCATTTTCTCTACCGTCTATGTTAGCAGCCAAAAAGGAAGTTTCCGCTGAAGCTCCATTATGCTGCCAGCCATATGTATATCCTGCCATATGACCTTTTAGCAGCTAAAGGAGCCTGCGGTTAATTAGAAAACCTTGAGCAGAAAGTCAATGTTGGGAAAACGTCCAAGGACAATGTAGAGTACAAGAATGTGCCTTGCACGGAAACAAAATCTGGCTTAAATTGGGTCCTTTAAACGAAGGAGATCTTGGTAGTACAAATTTCTTTCACTGCAGTCTCGAGGACACGACATTTATATGACAGTCAGAAGGATAAATAATGGGGCAGACAATCAAGCAAACATTTGGAAAGGGGTTATCTTATGTACATATGTTAATAAAACAATGCAACAACATCAGGAACAGCAACACGTTGACACATCCCCACATCCTGTTGCAGTCTCATTTCCGAAGTAGCAGTTTCGTACTTACCGGATATCTCTGCAAACGCTGCACGAATGCATGGAGCATCCTTACATTTATCACATTGGAAGTAATACATATGTATGTACAAATGTACTTTAATAACACAAATTGTATAAAAATCCTAGTCACTGATAAGAAAACTTGTAAAACGCGCACACAGCATCAGCTGTTCAATGAAACTAGTTGGCAGCTCCGTTGTCTAGAGATGAGCAAAAGTTGTTTTGGAACCAGCAAGAAGTTCATGTGTTTAGACATTTATAATTGCTTAAGGTATTTAAACAACAAAACATTTTATTTTTAAAGTATTTTAACATTTTTTTAAGGTTTGTTACAAAATATGAAGAAAAGTTTTGTTGGAAATACCGTTTCCGCTTACAATTTCTTAAGCCGAGTCCGCACTAGTTCCGCAAGTGAACACTCCCATCACTGACTGCTTCACATTTAAATCGGTTCAGTTCCATTTAGCTCCGACTCAAAGCAACACGTGCAACGGAAAGCATTCTGGGTTTATATTGTTTTTCAGAGGTTTTCTAAAAGAAACAAACCTGCAAAATGCTGGAGGAGATGAAGCAAATGAGGAGCATGCCGGTGCTTAGCAATTCGCGGCCAGAGTTCAAGGAGATACCCAAAAAGCTAAACAGGGTAACAACAAATAAATAACAGCCAATTTCCATGCTAATGAATACGAATTAACAGCACCTGGCCAACTTGGGAGCACCCCATGTGGACTCCTTCGACGAGATGTTGACCGTGGGACTGGACTATGTGGCCAAACATATGATTCCCATCCACTGGCAGAGTCCTGCCGGCGAAAAGATTTCGATGAAAGTGGAATCCATTTGGATAGCGAAGCCACAGGTGCCGCAGGATGTGATTGATGTGCGCACCCGAGAGATTTATCCCACGGATTCAAGGCAACTCCATGTTTCCTACTCGGGCATGTGCTCTGTAAGATTAGGCTGGAGTGTCAATGGAGTAGAAAAGTCCCCCATAAACATGGATCTGGGCGAATTGCCAATAATGCTGCGTTCCAAGGCCTGCAACCTGGGACAGGCTTCCCCGAAAGACATGGTTAAGCATGGCGAACACGACAGCGAGTGGGGCGGAATCTTTGTGATCCGGGGAAATGAGAAGATCGTGCGCATGCTGATCATGACCAGGCGGAACCATCCCATCTGCGTTAAACGCTCTTCCTGGAAGGATCGTGGCCAGAACTTCAGCGACCTGGGCGTGCTGGTGCAAACAGTCCGCGAGGATGAATCGTCTTTGAGTAATGTATTGCACTTTTTGAACAATGGAACAGCCAAATTTATGTTCTCCCATGTCAAGAGGCTGTCCTATGTGCCCGTTTGCCTTATATTAAAGTGCCTAATGGATTACACGGACGAGGAAATATACAACAGATTAGTACAGGGCTATGAATCCGATCAGTACTACGTGTCCTGCGTGCAGAGCATGCTGAGGGAAGTGCAGAACGAGAATGTCTATACCCATTCTCAGTGCAGGAGCTTCATTGGCCATCTCTTCCGTTCCCGCTTCCCAGAAGTTCCAGAATGGCAACCTGATGAGGATGTCACAGATTTTATTCTCAAGGAAAGAGTAATGATTCACCTGAATACCTATGAGGATAAATTTCAGTTGATCGTGTTCATGGTGCAAAAACTCTTCCAATGCGCCCAGGGGAAACACCGAGTGGAAAACGTCGACTCGGCGATGATGCAGGAGGTGCTGCTGCCAGGACATCTTTACCAGAAATACCTAGGTGAACGCGTTGAGTCCTGGGCTCTACAGGTGCGCCGTTGTCTCCAAAAGAAGCTGACCACCCCGGATGGCCTGCTGACCAGTGCCGTGATGACCCAGTGCATGCGACAAGCAGGCGGAGTTGGTCGCTCCATGGAGTCCTTCCTGGCCACGGGAAATATTGCCAGTCGAACTGGGCTGGGACTGATGCAAAACAGCGGATTGGTCATCATGGCGGAGAACATTAACAGGATGCGTTACATGTCCCATTTCCGAGCCATTCACCGTGGCTCCTACTTTACAACAATGAGGACCACGGAAGCGCGACAGCTGCTCCCGGATGCCTGGGGCTTCATTTGTCCCGTCCACACTCCTGATGGTACGCCCTGCGGTCTGCTGAACCATTTGACACTGACCTGCGAAATCTCCAAGCGCCCGGATCCAAAGTTGGTGGATGTAAGTACATAGAATTGTACCAATTCTGGTGTGTTATTAAAATACATCTTATATTTCAGGTCATACCATCACAGCTGATAGAGATGGGAATGCTGCCGTTGTCTAACCAAAGTGAGGCGGAGGCCAAACTTTACGTGGTCTTCCTGGATGGCAAACACCTGGGTCACATTCATCAATCAGATGCCTCCAAAATAGTCGAAGATTTGCGCCACGGAAAGATATTTGGCACCCTTCCTCAAATGATGGAGATTGGCTTTATACCGTTCAAGAAAAACGGTCAGTTCCCGGGACTTTATCTTGCAACAGGACCTGCCAGGATGATGAGGCCCGTTTGGAACCTGAAGTGGAAGAGGGTGGAGTATATTGGCACACTGGAACAGCTGTACATGGAGATTGCCATCGACCAGAAGGAGATGTACCCTGATTTTACCACCCATCTGGAGTTGGCCAAGACGCACTTCATGAGCAACCTGGCTAACTTAATTCCCATGCCGGACTACAATCAATCGCCTCGTAATATGTACCAGTGTCAGATGGGAAAACAAACGATGGGAACCCCCTGCTTAAATTGGCCCAAGCAAGCGGCCAATAAGTTGTACCGCCTGCAGACGCCAGCAACGCCCCTTTTCCGGCCTGTTCACTACGATAATATTCAGATGGATGACTTTGCCATGGGCAGCAATGCCATAGTGGCTGTCATTTCCTACACCGGCTATGACATGGAAGACGCCATGATCATCAACAAGTCAGCCTACGAGCGAGGATTCGCCTATGGAAGTATCTACAAAACGAAGTTTGTGACGCTGGACAAGAAGAGCAGCTACTTTGCCAGGCACCCGCACATGCCGGAGCTGGTTAAACATCTGGACACAGATGGCCTTCCACATCCCGGCTCTAAACTGAGTTATGGTTCCCCGCTATACTGCTATTTTGACGGCGAGGTAGCCACTTATAAAGTGGTGAAAATGGATGAAAAGGAGGATTGCATGGTCGAGAGCATCCGGCAGTTGGGAAGCTTCGATTTGACGCCCAAGAAAACGGTGGCCATAACCCTGAGGATTCCACGACCTGCCACAATTGGCGATAAGTTTGCGTCGAGAGCCGGTCAGAAGGGTATTTGCTCACAGAAATATCCCGCCGAGGATTTGCCCTTTACCGAATCGGGCTTGATCCCAGACATTGTGTTCAACCCCCACGGTTTCCCCTCCCGTATGACAATTGCCATGATGATCGAAACGATGGCGGGCAAGGGGGCAGCGATCCACGGCAACGTTTACGATGCCACCCCTTTCCGCTTTTCCGAAGAGAACACGGCCATTGATTACTTTGGCAAGATGCTGGAGGCCGGAGGCTACAACTACTACGGTACGGAGAGATTGTATTCGGGAATAGATGGCCGCGAGATGACGGCGGACATTTTCTTCGGAGTGGTCCATTACCAGCGCCTCCGGCACATGGTGTTCGACAAGTGGCAAGTGAGATCAACGGGAGCCGTGGAGGCCCGCACCCATCAACCAATTAAGGGAAGGAAACGCGGTGGCGGCGTGAGATTCGGAGAGATGGAACGAGATGCTTTGATCTCCCACGGAGCCGCCTTTCTGCTGCAGGATCGTTTGTTCCACAACTCGGACAAAACGCACACGCTGGTGTGTCACAAGTGTGGTTCCATTCTGGCGCCACTGCAGCAGATCGTGAAGCGGAACGAGACGGGATTACTCTCATCGCAGCCCGATACGTGTCGCCTGTGCGGGGACAGCAGTTCGGTTTCCATGATCGAGATCCCCTTCTCCTTCAAGTTCCTGGTAACCGAACTCAGTTCGGTCAACATCAATGCCCGGTTTAAGCTGAACGAGATTTGAGTTGAATCTAAGATTAATATTGTTAGCCTTTATTTTATCCCTTTAACTAATAAAGTTGATAAAAAAAATGTTTGCATATTTTTTGTAGCTAAATCGTATTGCAAAAAAAAAAAGTGGAAAATGGTTTCAATTTATATTTATTTATTTATTTAAATACATATTTGTTTACGTTTACAGTTAAATTCCTGCATTTGCTATATGTAGTTGTGGTTTATGTTCTTGTTGCTGTTTGTAGTCGCTTTTGTTTTGTCTGTGAGTGTTGAATGGAATTTTTGTCGAATTTTGTAACATTTAACTATTGCACTTTGGAAAGGCTTCCCGCTTCCCACTTCCAACTAACATGCACATTGGTTGATACGAAAGGATTGAGAGTTAATTGGTAATAAGTATACGATGAGAATTTCCATTATCGGTATTCAGTATTAGTATCTATGTATATAATGTATATTTTAGTTTACAATTCTTTGTTCTTCGGCTGCCGCGTCGCGATTGAAGGGATTATCAGCAGATTCATGGCTTGCTACTGCATCGGATAAGTTAATACTTGGTGCTATAAAAATCGCTTTCCTTCCCAGGAAGCGGCACAACATGTAGTTCTCTTCAGTTTATCTATGATACACATACAAAACAAAATAATACACAGGATCAATTGAAAAATTCTGCTATAAGTATAATAATATTTTGAATGTTTGCTTTTGTTTCCTCTAAATTTGACTTCTCTTCTCTTCGGTTTTCGATAAATTTTCAGTTGCTCAACAGTGAATAATCAAGGGGAGTTTTTGTTTGATCATCTTTAATTATTTGTCTATTATTTAATGAGATTTCTGCTGCTGCGGCCTCATCATCAAATCTTCACACTCAAAAACACTAAACATGAATTTCGTTTTGATGCAATTGCAATAATCAATATGTGTATAAATATTTAGATAACGATTTGCATATTTGTCATTTGCCTGCATCTTAATAATTTCCTTGCAAGCATATCTTTTTTGTTTTAAATTGTTTTCTGTTTTTATTACAACGACGTATATACTAGGTATATGTATGTGGTTTGTATGAATGTATATCTGTGTATAGGTATATAATATCCAATTGCTACTGCCTCGAAATGATGCAACAATATATAATTTGTCATACATATTAACATAATCTAATTATGTTCTCTCGTTTCTCTACTATGAACTTTTTGAGCTTAACATTTACAAAGAATTCTGATACGGATTCGGGTGATTAGGATGTGGGGGAGTGAAGGTGGGGAAGGGAAAGGTTTACAAAAATAATATTCAAATCAATACGAAACGGGAAAGTGAAAAGTGGACAAAAAGCTCACTCCGCAACGTGCTGCTGGAGAAGATAAAAGGTACGTATGAAGAGAGTAGGAGTGGCTGGCATTACTAAACACTTTGCTTTGATATTTCTATAGGTGATTGGGATTGTGCATTGTAAAGTGGTTGCCGTGGCTTCGTAGCTCCATCTCGACCCCTCCCCGTCCATGATTGTTGTGGCTTAGAACTGATCCGCCAGTAGGTCGCAGATCTCCCTGGTCACGGTCTCCTTGCTGGCCCGAACTGTCAATCGGAACATCTGTGAACGAGTAGGAGGATTAGCATCGTTGAGATCAATCCCATCTGTCCACAAACAACTCACCTGAGCCTGCTTATTCGGCTCCAATCGCATCAGGCAGCCCACCTGCTGGGATTGCGTGTGGATGATGCCCGCACAGACCATGTTGTCTGGATTGGGATCGACCTGGTCCAGCAGCTGCATGCCGAAGCCCATCAGCTTGTTGCGAGCTCCGGCCAAATCCAGTGGCTGGGCTGCCTTGAACACTTTCTGTGACCGTTGTTGTTCCCTGAAAATAAATTCACATTAATTCACAAGCCGAAATTCCAGAAGAAACCCTCTCTAATTACCCGCTAAGATTCTTCCATCGCGCAAAGAAGGATTCGGCATTCATTTCGGTTGGCTCAAAGAACTTGTTCACGGTCAATGGCAGTTTGATGCTAAACTTCTGCTGGGTGCCGTTGTAGCGGAAACTGATCTCGATGGTTGGCGCATCGGCGTAATCCTCGATGCACTCTGCAGTGAGGAGTTGTTGGATCTGGGCGCCGGCCTCCAGGGTCGGCTCCACCGCCTTCATCTGCACGTTCAGCTTGAGCGCATCCTCGGCGGACCATTGCAGCACGGGATTAAAGTTCTGCAAGCAAAAGGCGGGAAATTGTAATGCCACCAAACATAGCCAACGCCAACCAAGTAAATACTTACAGTCAGGGGAACCTGCGTCTTGTTACCATAAAACAGGCCCAATCGTCCCAGATTCTGACGGAACTCGCTCTTCACACCGATCTGCAGCATCTCGTTTTCGAAAAGAACTCCATTGTTCTTGAACAAGAACTTCTTGGTGTTGTACACGGCACTCGAGTTGTTGTTGCTGCTGTACATATCGCCCAAAACATCGATGAGCGTGCTATTGCTATTGCTGCCACCGCCAATATTATTCGATGGCGGTGTACTCAAGCCCAGGAGATCCGTGTTCGCGTTGCTGTTGTTCAGCTTGCTGTGCGAGTTGTTCACGTGGGCATTGTTCTGCGTTACAGAAGACAGCGGAGCCGGGCTCTTCGACTCCCGGATCTCGTTCTCCGGCACCCGGCCGGGCTTCTTCTTCTTCAGCACTGCCAGAATGGAGCTCTCACGCTCCGGGAACGATGGCATCTCCTCCAGGACGGTGGCCAACACGTCGGTCGATGCCACAATGCTGAGCTGCAGATATTCGCTGGCTCGCTGCTGCAATTCCGCATCAGCGGACCGAAGATTGCTGTGCTGGCGGAACACATCCTGGATATTGGTGCGAATCTCCGGGAACAGGTTGATGAACTTGATGTACGTGGAAAGCAGCAGGGCCCGCGTCATTGGCGAGCACAGATGGTACTTGGAGTGCAGCAGCTTGAATTGCACCAGTGGTGCGGATCGAGAATCGCCGGCAATCAAGTTACCGAACTCGCCCAAAATGTAGCCGCCCACTTTGACCATGTTCTCGTGGCAGGCGGGCGCCTGGAGCGCCTCAAAAACGGTCTTGGCTGCATAGCCCTGCACCTCCTCGCGGTTGATAACGATCTGAATAACGCGGTACCACACTTCCTCGGACACGTAATCGCCGGCAATGCGGATAAGATTGAGTATCACATCCACATACCTGGGGAAATGTCAATTGCAGCTCAAATTGCAGTTCCCAAAGGTGGAAAAATCAATGCTTACCAGGTATAGTCCGTGGCGTACTTCTCGGCCAGAATGGCCACCTTGAGCACCATCTCCTCGCGAATCGAATAGTCGGCCGTCTCCAGATAGTTGAGCATCTCCTGAACAATCTCCTCGGCATTGCCGCGATCGCACATGGCGTATAAAAGGTCCACCGCCATTTGACGCACGGAAACATCCTTCTCCATTTTCATCGAGAGTATGACCACCTCCTGGTGCTTCTTGACCTCCTCGTGCGAGAACTCCGACGTGGCCAGGTGGCACATGGACTCCAGAGCCAAGTAGCGCAAGTTGGTCTCCCGGTTGCTGAGGAACTGGCCCAACTGGTTACAGGCGCGCACCAGAAGGTTCGGCTCGCTGTCGCTGTGAATTATCAGATTTATGGCCTCGAAGAGCACGGCGTTCTTGGCGTTCGAGTGCTGCACCTTCTTGCTTTTCGGCGGCTCTTGCGCCTTGTTCAGAATCGTCTCCAGGGTCTCGTTCAGTCGAGCCCGCACGCCCGCCTCCTCGGTCACCGGATTGTAGTTCTGCAGCAGTCGAAGAAGCTTCACGGAGAGCCATGGAGCCGGCACAAAGTAGTAAGTGTAGTCCTGCACAAGGGATTTGGGGATTAGATTGAATGCTTTCATACTACGAGCAAGTCTTTTTAACCTACCTGAAGATCCGTGTAGCTGGCTGTCACGATCCGGGACAAGCGTGAAACGGCCAAGTTGACACAACCCTTGTACTCGTCCGGATTGCGCTTCACCAGGGCGTCGATCAGCGAGGTGGCCGCTGTGACTACTCCCATGTGCTGATCATTGAGCAAATGGATGATGCGCGAGGTCCACTCGCCGCCGGGAATGATGTCCGGCGAGGAGCGGAACAGGCGGAGCAGGCACAGCGCCGCCGACTGCTTCACCACGTCCATGGTGTCGCCCGAGACGAGTAGCTTGGGTATCTCGTTAGAGAACGACTCGGCCATGTCCCGGCTGCCGATGTTGGCGATGCACTGCAGCGCCAGGTTAACGTGCACAGGATTGCGCGACTGCAAATCATTCTTGATCGACTGGATGATCAACCGGATGAGGTCGCTATTCGTGTTCACCAGCACCGAGATGAACAGGTAGCCCTGTAATCGAAAAACAAAGTGTTATAATAGTGATATAAGCAATATGTTCAAACCATTAATATTCATTCCTAACTAACATTTTGTAAAAAACTTTTAACTTATTCGAGCTCTTTTTACCATTTACTTTAACATAACTAATTGTGATATACAAATTTCCTCTATTTCGGGTCGCTCTGAATAACAAAATGATTATGGAAGCAATTATTTGGTGTACTCACGATCTGCTTCTCTGAGTATTTGTTGGAGGACAGCAGATTGACCGCCTCCATGTGGCCAAAGTCGATGTCATGGCCGAGGAGAAAGATGAAAAGCAGCTTGCATACATATTTCTTCTTCTGATAGCCGTCGAGGGTTTTGTCTCCTTTGAATTTGCTCCGGATATTGGCCAACTCCTTGTTTATGCGTTTGACCTCCGCCTCTTTGCTTTTACCTGTGGATGGTGAGGGGAAATATATGTATATATTAGTAATATGGAAAAAAATGGATGAAGGTCACAGAAGGAGATTCACAGTAAAACAAAAGCGTTTCGTCGCTTTCTTTTTCGGCCCATGGTTGATCGATGGGAGAACCGACAACTTCACACTTCTCGACTCTCTCCATGTCGCGACTTTTCTCCGGTTCACAGAGGCACCAATTAGTACCAGTCACCGAATCGCTGCGGAACCTCAGCTCTCCGATATGCTGCCCACAAACCAGTAACTAGTAACCAGCATACGAGTACATATATGTAGCAAACAGCGAGCGGTGACGATAATACCATACAGTGGGGCTTCAAGTCAACAATTGGCGCGATACAAGTTTGAAGGAAGCTAGTTAAGCTAAAAACGGGTGCTCAAATCAAAATTATCACGGCATCACAAAGCCGATTCATGATGAAAATTTAAATTTAACTGAATTCTTTGTTTCAAATAGAGCAGTGTTTAAGACACCGTATCCATCCTATCGAGTGCCCACTATGTGTGTGCTTTTGCGCCGCCCCGCTTTATTGTGAGTGCGCTGCTCCTGGTAATTGATCAAGAACTGGCGCTGATTCCGCCCCTATGGAAAATCTCTTGCCACTCTACTAATGCCCTGCTCAATTGGATTTAATGGTGGTTACCCAAGAGATCTGCACTTACAGTTCCTTATATCCGATATAAAGACGGCCAGGCCTCTCATGCCATCCCCCCGCACCGGCGCCATGGTAGTTAGCTTGTTAATTTTCGCTGGTTTTATGCAAACTGGGGGCGCAAGAAAATCGTCGATCGAAGGCGGCCGAGACTCGAGGCGTTCTTATCGCTCGAACTCGACGTCGGATCCGGAGAAAGATATAGTAGTTGCTTTCCGCTCTGTCTGTCTATATTTCTCTGCTTCTGGATCACTCTCTTCGACGCTCTTTGCGATCTGAAAACAGAAGAAAGTTTTGATTAATAGAGGGATTTAGATATTGAAAAAATAAGTGATCGATAAAAGGTTATGTTAGTAATATTACTCATAGGTAACATTTTACATTAATGTATGTAGTAATGTAATAGTAATGCATCTATTAAACAAATTTAAACTAATGTGAAATTACTGTTTAGACAATCAACCAATCAATAAATACAAAATCAATAATATAAATGTAATATAAAAACAGGGGAATTATATGTAGCCTTAAATTTTGACCCTTTGATGTTTATGGAGTTTATCATGGGTGTCTTAAAAAAGTATGTATCCACCAGATAATTTGCTATACTACGGAACTCAGATAACGATTTATGTGAAGAGTTGTTGCCTGATAATCTGTAAACATTTATCTAGTGAATTATATAGTCGATTTCGATGCTGAGTGTTTCTCGCTGTGCACTTTATGTTCGGTGAACTCTGACATTTTGGCGTGGAAGCGAAGCACCCACAGTTTTGGCATCCGATTTATTTGCAACTTGGCAGCGTTTTGCACGCTGATAAAGACTCTGTGACCTCGCTCGCCCACATTTTATCGCTTGGCGAAAAGCGATGTGCACTTGGGCATTATTTGTATTATTTCGGACGACCACCGGCTTCTGTTTCTGTTTTCTGATTCGCTTTCTGTTTCGTTTTATTTTCTGTTTTTCACTGCGCTCTCTTTGCGCCTTCTTTCTTGCCTTCATGTCACGTCACTTTTTCACCGCTGGATGACGAAGGCGTTTCGCCCAAAAAAAAAGACACCAAAGAAGCCACCGAAATTAAAAACATTAATGGGCGTATTATAATGTGTTTTTTTGGGAGCTTACTTCTCCGATTTCCGATTTGTTCGATGCTCGGTTACAGCGGACAAAATCGTTGAGCGTTGCGGAATTTCTGAGAGAGTTTTGGAATTGGCTTCGCTTGGAATCGCTTGGAATCGCAATCCGGAATCAGGAATACGGGGTGTTGGCCGCGGAATGTTTGGTCTGAGTGCTGCACTTTATATAACTCCAACTGGCTGGCGATTTCGCCGCGCTGCTTCGCCGCTAATTTGATTGCTAACTATTTCCGAGCGCAGAGCAATTCACTAAAATGAAAATTTCTATTGATTTTTCTTCTCTCTCGCTGCTTGAGAGTGGAGCCATCTAGCGGGCGCGGGTGTGCGGATTAGTGGGACCGAGTGGGAGTAAGGCCGCCATACCGCAAATACCATGGTCTCCAGGGCTTCGTCTTGCAGGGCTGGGTGATGTTTTGAGGTGAGGTGTCATTTCTCTACAGGGTTTTTTGAATGTTTATTAATAACAGTAAAGTCTCTGTAAGACAAACGCTCAACCACGGAACGTTTTTTTTTAGAAAAGGCTAACTTTGTGTATTTTTTCTGCAAGCTATTAGTATCAAATTTTTATTCCGACAAAATTCAGCATGCGGTAGTATCCTATTTATTATTCTATAAATTCTCTATTAAAATGTCGAACCCAAGAACTGTAATTAAACATATAATTCGAGTAAATTGATCTACAAAGCAAACTGAACTTAACTTATTTAAATTTTAATAGTTTTATCTTTGTTTAATTTCCGTAAAAATTAAACTATTATTTTAAAAGGGGATATGAAATAAGTGAACTCGTATCAAAAAAGTAAGAACTTGTACCATATAAGAATTAAGTATGCAAGTTTAATGTTTCTCTTAAAACTTTTCTTTTTGATATGTATTTACATGTAACTTCCTGTTGAGTTTAAAAAGTTTATAAGGGCTTGCATCAGTAAAAAAAATTGTTTATTTATAATTTTTGATTCTAGCTCAACATTAAAGAGGAAATAATATAGCTAAAAGTATCTTAAGTTAATTGCGATAATTGTTAAACATGATTTTAACCCTCCTGAATACAAATCAATTCCATAACTTGTGACGTCACAAAATGAATGCAGTGCGCCACCTCGCTGTCCGCACACCGTGCGATTACTCCGCCATTTTTTTGCGCGTTTCAGAAACGCGTTTTCGATTCGTGGTTTTTATTTGTGAAAAAATATGTGAAATGCTTCAGCGGCAAGCAGCGAACTGGCAGAATTAAGAGCACAGGACCAACAGGACTCACAAATCGACCAGGAGCAGCGGATATCCGGATATCGTTGCCTGCAAGGGAAGCGATACGTGCCGAATGCAGACGCATGTGTTACGCAGCAGAGTTCCAATTTTCGCACCGCACAAAAACATAATTGGCACAGAATATTGGAGATTTTGTAGTGAGCCAGTAGCAGGAGCCAACAGCCGGCAGCCATGAGTTTTTCCAGCGACGAGGTGAACTTTCTGGTTTACCGATACCTGCAGGAGTCGGGTGAGTAGATCACGACCCCTTCTGGCGATAAGTACCCGTAATCTTCTGTAATCCCCGTTTCCCAGGCTTTCTGCACTCGGCCTACGTGTTTGGCATCGAGTCGCACATCTCGCAGAGCAATATCAATGGCGCCCTGGTGCCTCCGGCCGCACTGCTCACCATCCTGCAGAAGGGTCTCCTCTACACCGAAGTGGAGTGGAGTGTAGGTGAGGACGGCGAGGTGGCACGCCCCATTGAGGGCCTCTCGCTGATAGACGCCGTCATGCCGGAGGTGAAGCCGCCCAAGCCCATTGTGAAAACAGAACCGGGAAAGCAGCCCGGCGCAGTGGACTCCTCCGCCCCCGCAGGTGGCAACCAGAACAGTCAGAACTCCAAGCCAGAGATCAAAATCGAACCTGGCACGGGAGCAGCGGGCGCAGCAGCCGGCAACAAGACGGCCGGCAGCACTACGGGCACCAGCACGCCGACAGATCAGACGACCGGCGAGGTGGACTCCAGCGGAAACACGGCAAATAACACGGGAGGAGCCACATATACAGGCAACAATGGAGCTGGAGGCAATCAGGCAAGCACCACAGGAACCAATAACACAAATACCCCAGCTGCCGGAGAAACAGCACAACCAGGCGCAGGTCAAAAGAAATCACAGAGCTCCAATGAGGCGGGCAGCTCATCTGGCGGCAACGCGGGCAATGCGAATGCCACCAGCACCGACGATGCAGCCTCCTCCACTTCCACAAACGGCAATAGCAGCACCTCCAGCAGCGTTGAGCAGCCGTCCAGCGGGGTGACGCCAGCTGGCGGCGGCACTGTATCCACCTCCAATCCGGATGCGGCGGCAGCCGGAGGAGCCTCCTCGGCAGCAGGCGCTAAGGTGCCCAGTGGGGCGGTCACGATTCGAGTGGGAGCCCAAGGAAACAACGTTCAGGCGGGTTCGTCGACGGCCCAGAACTCGGCGCCCAGTGGAACCATCTCCTCGTCCACCGGTGGAGGCGCCGGAACTCCCGCCGCTTTGGTGCCCATGGATATTGACGAGAGCATCGAAATACCCGAGTCCAAGGCTCGTGTGCTGCGCGGTCACGAAAGCGAGGTGTTCATCTGCGCCTGGAATCCAAGCAGGGATCTCCTGGCCAGCGGTTCGGGCGACAGTACTGCCAGGATCTGGGACATGTCCGATGCGAACACCAACTCCAACCAGTTGGTGCTGCGACACTGCATCCAGAAAGGCGGCGCCGAGGTGCCCAGCAACAAGGATGTCACCTCTCTGGACTGGAATGTAAGTTGAAGTCATTTCTTCTGCCTAAATGTATTGTCCTTAACTCCTTAACGTTTTTTCTATAGTGCGATGGCTCCCTGTTGGCCACCGGCAGTTACGACGGCTACGCCCGGATTTGGAAGACCGACGGCCGACTAGCCTCCACTTTGGGCCAACACAAGGGTCCGATCTTTGCGCTCAAGTGGAACAAGTGCGGCAACTACATTCTCTCGGCTGGCGTGGACAAGACAACGATCATCTGGGACGCATCCACGGGCCAGTGCACGCAGCAATTCGCTTTTCACAGTGCTCCAGCCTTGGATGTGGACTGGCAGACAAATCAGGCCTTCGCCTCGTGCAGTACGGATCAGCGCATCCATGTGTGCCGACTGGGGGTAAATGAGCCCATCAAGACTTTCAAGGGACACACGAACGAGGTGAATGCGATCAAGTGGTGTCCGCAGGGCCAGCTGCTGGCCTCCTGCTCCGATGACATGACCCTGAAGATCTGGAGCATGAATCGAGATCGCTGCTGCCACGATCTGCAGGCGCACTCCAAGGAGATCTACACGATAAAGTGGTCGCCGACGGGTCCGGGAACCAATAATCCCAACACAAACCTCATCCTCGCCTCAGCCTCGTTCGATTCGACGGTGAGGCTGTGGGATGTGGAGAGAGGTAGCTGTATTCACACGCTGACCAAGCACACGGAGCCGGTCTACTCGGTGGCCTTCAGTCCGGACGGTAAGCATTTGGCCTCCGGCAGCTTCGACAAGTGCGTGCACATTTGGAGTACGCAAACGGGACAGCTCGTGCACAGCTACAAGGGCACTGGCGGCATCTTCGAAGTCTGCTGGAACTCCAAGGGAACTAAGGTCGGCGCCAGCGCCTCGGATGGCAGCGTTTTTGTCCTGGATCTACGAAAGTTCTGATCTCCTGAGGAGCCGCTGCTGGATTTCGTCTATTAAGCAAACGCTTATATTAGTCAGGTGTCCTTTTTCAACTCTTAATTTGGTGGAAATGGAATTGATGAAATTTCACTTGTGTTAGATTCGATTTAACTTTGATTTACATTCATATATTACATTTGCTCGGGCAGTGAAATATAACTAGTTCCAATTCTGCCAATGTTAATCGACTTGAAGCTGGAAACCGGGACGCATGTAACTCCTTTCTTAGCTATCCCGCCCTGCAATCTGTATTTGTAATTGCTTTAAGTTCTAATTAGCTCTTTAAGGTTTAACTCTTGAGATCCTCCCGCTTTTGTTCACGTCTTTTTCGTACGCTTAATCCCGAGTCACACACAAAACGAGATGCACCTGGGATTTCAAAGGCTCCAACTTGGTTGTTGTTCTCTTCCGATCTGCAGGATGCGACTCGGCTCTTTTTAAACTTAGTTATAAGCTCTATGTTTCTAAGGTCGTACCTTTTTATACAGAAATCGTTTAGTATAACTTTATGCATTTTGTTATTGTGTCGATCGAAGATGCCAGCCAACCCATCATTTTACCTTTAAGATGAAGGGATATCCAACGAGATCAGATTGGACCGATTCACGCATACATTCAGAACAGTGTAACTGCAGCCCCACATAGTCTGTAAACGAGCATAAGCCTAAGAAATATTAAGAACACAAGAATGGCGAAAACAAAAACATCTGCAAAATCCATTAAAGATACAAATTAAATTGAGTTTTCTTCGACTTGGGGTAAAAAGTTGTATTATTTGGGTTAGAGAAAACAATATTATAAGATAACTTTCACAAACTTAAGAACAAACTATTTTAAATATGCTGACTAACTTAATGTATAGATAATCATTCAAAGTCTAGAACTCTATGACATTTCCCAGATGTCGTTGCTTGAAGAAGCGGCACTCCTCGCGTATCATCTCGCCGGATTTGGTTGTGCCTTTAAAGAACTTGGTAAGCTTGGTGCCTGCGTACTTTGGCTTCTCGGAGTCCGGCTCATCGAACTCCATGTCGTAGGCCTTGTCCGCCAAGGCGTTTTCCGCCGTAGACCAACTAAAGCGCACGAGACGAGGAAATCCGAACACCAAATCGATGTGCTCGGACAGGAATCTCTTGGTGACCGGATCGCCAGGATAACCGCTGCCAAAGGCATTGTCTTTAATGACCAAACCCTCGGGAAACTTCCACACCTTGAGGGCATGATCACGGGTTACCTTGGCACAGATACTCGCTGCCGAGACAATGGGATAGGTGGAATCGGCCTTCTTGGCCACAGTGATCTTGAAAGTGGGGAAGCGCTTGAGCAGCTTCTCCTGGTACTTTTCCGGCGGACCCACTGTGTCCACATACACCTCCGCTATATTAACGCCTGCATCGATGGCCTGCTGGATCAAACCCATGGCGGAGTCCATGGAAACCTCGTTTAGAGAGCACTTGGATCGCCGGTACATGCTTGTGCTGATTGTATTCGGCGATATGATCTCCACGGCCCAGCCAATGCAACTGGTGGCATACTCCTTGGTGTTGATATCGTTGAATATGACATCCCGCTTCTCCTCGGTCAATTGTTTGGAATCGGCGCATCCCAGATCCTCGAGAGCCTTTTTGCTATCAAGCGGACAGTAGGAAATTCCATATACCATGGGTCCCAGGACGGGACCACGCCCCGCTTCGTCCACGCCCAGCATGCAGGGTTTATCCTTGCAAATATCCGGTACATCACTCAAGTAAACCGTATTCCGACTGTTTTCCTTGGCGGCTATAAAGGGTCCCAGAGTTTTCAGAGAACTGATTTTGTTGGTTTCCTTTAGGTCCTCATCTTCGGGCTTTTCGTCCTTCTCATCGGTATCACATAAAGTCTGGTTTTCCTGCTTGATTTCCATATCTTCTTGGTCCGACATTTTCGCGCGCCTTTTTTGTTTACTTTTTATCGCAAGGGAGCAGGGTCACTATTTATTAGGGCTGGAAGTACATCGATAGCACAAACGATGTTATCGATGATTCTAATTTTTTTTTAAACATCGAAAGTTACAAGTTAAGTTAGAAAATCAAAATGCTAAAAAATAAAATTTGGAAGAAAAAGTATAATTATAACAAAAATGTAATTCATCATGTACTTTAATAATATTAATTAATGCTAATATGGGAAAAATTGTATTGATAATTCAATAAAGAACAATTTAGGGTCATTCAAAAGTAGTTAAGAAAACTATTCGATTACGAAAATATTGATCAACAGTGAAAAGAAGTGTAACCTAGTTAAATTGTTTGGAAGCAGCTAAAAATACAAAATAAAACAATTAAAAACATAAAAAAAATTGTTATTATCCATTATTGTAATCTTGAAGTCGCTTTTATTTGAAAATAAAACTAATGCTTAAATCCACAAGAAAAATTGCTGATTAGAATATTAAAATACGAGACAAAAATATGAAAAAAAATTAAACAAAAATAAAAAATGAATTTCATTCCTTAATGGTTTTAATTGTTTGCTTTGCTTATTTGTCAATGCTTAACCTGATAACACTTTCTAAACTATTCTGCCAAAAATTATTATTTCATATAATTTCAATTATTTGTAAGATAAAAAACCAAATTAAAGTTGTATGTGTTATAAAGAGTTTTCCAGTTCCAATTATATATTGGCTTTGGTTTTTAGTTAAGTTTATCTTGTTACATAAGATGTAGACATTTTATGACGATTAAAGTTTTAATACCATCCTTCTATTCAAGGTATCATACATAATTTATTGAATACATAATTGCGAGTATATAGATATCAAAACTAAACCTGTTTTTATGTTCAAAAAATTTGAAAATAACTTCATAGTTTAACATGACTAATAAGTTTTCATTGCACCATTGGATTTTTTGGCTCGTTAAGCAATTAGGGAGTACCCTTAATATTATCTGTACTTTCGTGATAATATCGACGACAACCCGAGCACCAATATCACGATAGTGCTATCGATGTTTTGACAGCTTCGCTTCCATCCCTACCTTTTCCTTCTCTTTCCGGTTTAGGATTTTGACCAGCGTGCTTGTTCTCGTCCCGAGCTAAGGCCATTTGTTATAAACAATTAATTTTTGGCAACTTGCACAATCAGTGATTAGCCACAGCACTTCGACATGTCCACCAAAGCCGAGCTCGCCTGCGTCTACGCCTCCTTGATCCTGGTCGATGACGATGTTGCCGTCACCGTGAGTTCCATTTTTTCTATTTTCGTGGTGCACAAATCCTCCAAAACGCAAAGCATCTCGCAGAGATATTGAAGGATTTGCGGTCCCTACTCTGAATTAATTTACCCATTGGCACGTGCTAACGATATTTCTTAAAATTTGCGAACAGGGCGAGAAGATCAACACCCTTCTGAAGGCCGCCAACGTCGAGGTGGAGCCCTACTGGCCCGGCCTCTTCGCCAAGGCCCTGGAGGGCATCAACGTCAAGGATCTGATCACCAACATCGGATCTGGAGTCGGTGCCGCCCCCGCCGGAGGCGCTGCCCCAGCTGCCGCCGCCGCTCCAGCCGCCGAGTCCAAGAAGGAGGAGAAGAAGGTGGAGGAGTCCGACCAGTCCGAGGACGACGACATGGGCTTCGGTCTGTTCGACTAAGCGGAATCTGGAATCGTCTAGAGACCATTTGGACAACCTGACATCCGTTGTGTTTGTGCTCTAATCCTCGAGAGGTGGACGTGTGCCGTGTTTCCCCGACCGCGTACACGTTTTAATGTACAAACTCGAGGAAATATAGAAGACGTTTGCTAAAAAAATGAAGTGATTTGTTGTTTGTTTACTGGAACGGTGTGAAGATTACTCGCACACAGTGATTTGTTTGTTGCTTGGAGTACTCAAGATCGCTTGCAAATACCCTAGTCCCAAATTTTATGAAGGAATATGCCAAAGGTAGATGGCATTAAAGATGGCGAATTTTTACATTTAGAATAAATTTGTTAATTATTATCGGAAGGAAAAGGCTATTAGATACAAACGATTATATGAATGATCTTTATTTTTATAAATAAGGAATCATATTTAGTTTTTTTGCTTTTAAAACTATATATGTACATGTTATCCGAAGTTTATTTTCTTAAAGCTGGAGAATTTTTTAATTACATTTTCGTTTAAATCATGTACCAATCATAAAAGTCTTAGCAATTAGGTTATTTTACCAACACTGTCATACAGGAATTTTTATTAATTTACAAAAACGTTAACTAGAAAACAGTCTCCTGCAGAACCTTGGCCAAAGCTCTCAGATGGGGTCCATCAATCACTTTGAGACCCAATCCCACCACGAATTCCGTGGGGCACTTGTGGAGTCCGGTTCTGTTGACCAAAAATTGAATGGCGCTGCGAGTCTCATCGGTGTCCAGGCCCAGGCAACAATTCATCGTGATGGGCACCGAAACGTGGAATTCCGGATTATCCACGGGTCCATGAAGGTAGGGAACCACCCGCTCATCCCGCTTCACATCGAAGTGCACGTTGTAGATGCCGGGAATCTTGCCCAATTGGGTGACCACCAGGAACCACTTGTTGGCGAATCCATGGAACACTATCTCCGTGGGCACACCATTCACATCGACTGAAAATTGCCGATCGAAGCCGATTTCGCGGGGCTTATCTAGTGCAGGGGTCATTTTTTGTATTAACCAGAGTTAAATTCCGAATTTGTTTACAATGAGACAGCATAAAGTGTGGCTGCATGGTGAAATTTTTAAAATACCACCAGAATCTTTCCAACAGATGGCGCATGATGTTAAATTTTATTGGCCACGCTTCTGGCGGAATAATCATGAACCAAGACAAAGTTTTAACTTTAATTTGTTGTTAGGTTACCAAGGCTACTTTTGTTTGATCTATTCATTAAGTAAATAAACACAGAAATGTCCTCATGCATTTGCTTGGGTCCCAAAAGAGCGGGTAAAACGCACCTGCTGAAAGCTCTACAAGACCCAGATTCCATCGATGAGACGACCTACTCAATGCCCACCATTGGTACTGGAATCTATCGCATACATTTCCCCACAAAATCGCCCAACGGGGACAAACACAGGTCACCCCCGGCAGATACTCAGGTTAACATACCGCATGGTGGTAAAAATTTGCCCAAATCCATACAGATCCTGGAGATTGGTGGAAGTATGGCGCCCTTGTGGCGGCAGTACTTTGAGGATGTCAAGAAGCTGATCTATGTGGTGGACACCTCCAATCTCTGCCAGATATCCGCCGCCGGTGTTCTTTTCTATTCAATCCTCACCGAGCCGCGCCTGCAGAAGGTCAAGATCTTGTTGGTTTTGGCCAAAATGGACTACTCCTACCGCCAGATGCGAAACGAGGCTCTGCTCATGCTGCAGATGTCCAAGTTGCAGAAGCAGATCCGCCAGCAGGTGACCATTGTTGAGGCCAGTGCGGTCACCAAAGTGGGACTGGATTCCATCTACGACTGGCTGCAGAGGCCCTAAAAACAATTCATTTAAATACAAATAATATAATGTTTAATTTTACCAAAAAGATATCGTAAATATCAGAAATGCACTACCACTGATGATATTTTTATAGCTTGTTACTTTTTTTTGTCCTTGTATTTTTCATTTGTATAAGAATTATTTTTTAATTGTTTAATATAAATTAAATACCAAACTTCTATTTTATAATAATTACAATATAAATGATATTATACTAAATTAAAAATAAAATATTGGAGAAATACTGGATAATCTCCCATTTAGAATTGAAATATTTCCTATAACTTGATTTCCAATGAGTAGTTCAAGCTTCCGGGAAATTGTATTGAGCAATTAGTTTGTTATATTACCTGCATGGGCCATTAACTTTTAATGATTTAAACTCGAATTGGAATTAGAATGCCAGGTAGATGCACATGGTGGTCTCTAGCCGCAACTGTCCCAACAGGGACAAGAGCAGGCGCACTACAAAACCAATTAATGTTTTGGCCTACCAGGTCTCCATGGCAATCACCTAACCAAAGCAAACCAAACCAAACCGAACCGAACCGGAAGACCCTTTCCATGTGGCGCATATGTGTGTATATACCTGCCACAGGCCAGTCGATACAGAAGACAGAAAACCGCAGCGGAGGAATCCACAAATTAAGTCCCGTGGAAAAGAGGTAGGCGGTGGAGGAGGTACAAGTTATGGGCATAGAAAAATTAGATGGCATGCAGACGAGCCAAGAACTAAGACCAGATTCGAATTCGAGCCCAGAGGAATCCGCCGCCAGAAGAACCGCAGGAAGCTGAAGCAGCAGCAGCAGAGGCAGCAGCAGCGGCAGCGGCAGCAGCCACATTCCTGATGCCCCTGGATTTTGGTCTTCGAGTGGCAGGGGCAGGGGATGACACGCATCCGGTTTTAAAATTCCAGCGATCAAAACGCAGCAGAAGAACCCGAAAAAAGGAACCAAACCAAGGAATTTAAACACTTGAATCGGACACAGATACACATTGCACGCAGAAAAAAAAACATAAAGAGAATGTGTGTACAAATTGAAAAAAAGCTTAAATACGATATTCTTAGGAAGTATAGCAGCTTGGAAAGTATAGATAACTTAAACTATTTTCAATAAATTACATTTTAATAACACTTTTTTCCTGGAAGCAGAAAAAAACTTTAAAAAAACGTACTTGAAAAAAGAATGGTTTACTATGATGATCTAAAGTCAAGCTTAGAAATTGTAAATAATTGAAAACTTCACTTCACCTTAATATATATTTTTAAGTTTAGTGCGTTATTCCTCAAATTAAGAAATTTAAGGACTATTTTTCTGGGTGTAGTTCAAAATTTAAAAAATAAATTTAAAATGAATTAATTTATATTTTTATCCAAAGTACCTAAAATTTCGAAACTTTTCTTTTTTAGGTGAAGCTAATTTTTTCGAGTGTTACGCTAAAAGCGAAAGACGCGAATCGATGGCGACTGCGACGCTGGAGCTTGACTACTTCAGGGCAGTGTCCCTCTACCGCCGCCGCTCCTACGAGAGCTGTGCGGAGCTTTGCAACGCACTCCTGCAGGCCGGTCACGATGGCCATGTCCAACTGTTCGCCACCAAAGAGGAGGAGGAGGTGGAGCAGCAGCAGGCGGAGCACAGCAGATTCGGTAGCAATTTGCAACGCATTGGCCCCAGGCCAAGAGGAGCAGCAGGAGGAGCAGGAGGAGCTGGGGCAGCCGACTCTGGAGCATCCATCATGATGCCCACTTGGCTGATGGAGGGCGTGTGGCAATTAAAGATGCGTGCCCTAACGCAGCGCGTCTTCCTGGACGATCTGGAGGTGGATGAGGCCGGGGCTGAGGGTGAGTAGGTGACAATCTGGGGGGTATTAACCTTGTTTTCATATAATGAAGTCAAAATTAAATTATAGTTTTATAATGTTCGATTTGTTTTAGCCAACGAGGAAGTGGAGTTCGAGCGTATAGCCACTGCTGCTCGACCAGGGAGCAGCATAAAGACCGCCTTCCAGCCACGCCCCCTCACCAGTCAAAAGGCGCAGCGGCAGGCGAGGAGCAGGGGCGTGGGCGTCGGGGTGGCCCACTCCAGCGATGGTCGCCTAAATAGTTCCAGGCCAGGATCGGCGGCAGTGGCTCGTCCTGGCACCAGTCTCAGTCGACCGGGCTCCTCTTTGGGTGGCGGAGAGAGACCTGCCTCCCGTTGCGGCACCGCCTCCCGAGTTCGAGTCACTTCGGCGGCGGCCTTCCAAGTGGGCGATGCCACCGCCAAGCTCTACCAGGCATCCCGCCTCAATCCCACCATATACGCCGAACGGGAGACCCTGATCAAGGCGCTGTTCCAGTTCCTCTACTACCACGAATCGGATGTGCAAAAGGCATACTCTTTGTGTCAAGCGGTGATGGAAGTTCAGCGCCAGAAGGCCGGCAGTGGAGCCACTGCATCTAACTTGTCCTGGTGGTGGCAACAGCAGATGGGCCGCTGTCTCTTGGCCCTCCACTATCCCCGCAAAGCGGAGCCCTTTCTGCAGCAATCGCTGGCCAACTTTCCCCATCCGGATACCTATTTACTGCTCTCCAGACTTTACCAACGGATAAAACAGCCGGGGAAAGCGTTGTCCCTGATCAGCGAAGTGGTCGACACGCGACCCTTTGATGTCACCTATCGTCTGGAGCAGGCGAGGATTCATCAGGCCATGGAGCAGCAGGAGGATGCACTGCAGCTCTACAGACTGGTGGCCAAATTGCAGCCCATCAATGTGGAGTCTCTGGCCAGCATAGCCGTGGGTTACTTCTACGACAATAATCCGGAAATGGCAGTAACTATCATCTAATTTTAGTATTTAGATATCTGATTAATGAACTTATTTTTCTATAGCTGATGTACTACCGCAGAATTCTGTCCTTGGGAGCCCACTCTGCTGAGCTCTACTGCAACATAGCATTGTGCTGTCTGTATGGTGGACAAATCGATTTGGTCTTACCCTGTTTTCAAAGGGCTTTGGCCATGGCCACTCAGCCCGAGCAAAAGGCGGACATCTGGTACAATCTCAGCTTTGTGGCGGTGGTGAGTAAATTGAAACTTTGATAACTTAAATATTAAATCGCGGCAAGTTAAGATTTAAGAAGGAATTTATAATAATCGCTGTTAAATTATAATTTAGTAATGATACATTTAATGAGTATTATTAGTTATAACAATTAAATTGTCCTCAAAAAATACACATACATAAAGTTTACAATCTCTTGCCTTAACAATATTTATATTAATTTTAGACCTCTGGCGATTTTAATCTGGCCAAGAGATGTCTTCAGCTGTGTCTCACATCAGATGGCCAGAATGGAGCTGCCCTTAACAACTTAGCTGTGTTAGCTGCCCAAGGAGGGGATATTATGGGAGCCAAGTCCTATCTAAATGCAGCTAAAGATGTGATGCCCGAAGGTTCAGAAGTTACCACCAATCTGCAGTTTATGGATGTGCACTACAAGCTGTAAACTTGAAGGGAAGTTTTAATGAAGACATGTGCATGAGTTTGGAATTTATGTGTTACAAAAAGTTTCACAAATAAATTAAGTATTTATCTCTTTTTGGCTATGGATAACCAAATAGATTTTATAAAGTAAAACATTATTATTGTAGGAAAACCCACCATATATATAAATTGTTGATTGTTTAGCTTGACAGAATTGCTGGTCTGAAGTGTTAAATACTTGAAACAAGTACTCAAAGAATGACTCTCGTTTTCCTTTTGTACCTCGGTTGCGGTCAATGCAAACTGATTCATGTTGCGAAATACCTTAGATTCAGACCCACCCACCAGTGCTCCCCACTCTAACCGTTTTAATTAGCGGACTCAGCAGAAAAGCTTCGGCAAATGTTGTGCAAAAATCCAACAAAGAATCGTGGAGTTTTAGGAATCATTATGCATGTATGTATGTACTATATGTATATGTGTGTAGCCATTTGTCAGGTGTTCAGGTCAGAAAATCTGCTGATGCTGGAGCCAAAGCTGTGTCTTCTGGCGGGGAGTGTCCCACTACCCCAACAACTCCGCCTCCATTGCCTTCTCTTTGTTTGAGTCGAACAAATGATAAGCGCCAAATATTTGTTGATAAATGTTTGAAAATTAAATGAGCAACGTCCGACGACGTTGAACTCATCGCGCTGGCATGCATAAGCTAAATATTTATCAGCCTAGAAGGGGCCAGACTCTAGAAATTCTACAGTTCTCCCAGCAGGGGATTACAGATCCCACGGTTCGGGGACCAAGATACTAATCGAAATTTAAATACCGCTCTCGAGATGTGCTTAATGAAAAATGGAACCTCCTAAACGGATACAAAAAACGAAAATGCAAATTAAATTAGACTCATGAAAATGATATTAGCAAATTCCGTGTTAATTGGGTGGCCAAAGTCACAATGTAATACATTAATAATCTTTGTTTTGTCTAAACTTAATCGTATACCCATTTATCAATTGAATTCAAGTTTGGCCCTTTTACAAATTTTAGATTTAAATATTAATAGTTTTTAGATAAATATAATAATTATATTATGATAATTAAATAATAATTAAATATCTTTAAATGTTTTACGAACAGTAGCCCGACATGTTTGCTTGTTTTCAAAGTTTAAATGCAAATCCAGACACATTTTGTGGTCGTGTTCATGTGTACAAGTATTTGTATCTGTATCTGTATCTACACATCTACCTGTGTCTCTATCTCTATCTGTATCTTGTATTTGCTCATTTCCGTTTTCGAAGAGAGTTTCGTTTTCTTTTTGACATTGAATTCGCGTTGACTGGGCTTATCAGCCTTTGGGCCAAAATGCGTCAGCATTCAGGGCTTTTTCTTTTATATATTTTTTTTTATCACAAACATGGCAGCGACTTGTTCGTAGCTCTTTTCCACTGTTCAACTGCCCCTCAATCGGAGTGACTAGTTAATCATTGGCGGATTCGCCTCGTCCGGCTGCAGGTGCCTCCAAAGTGTCAAGATGATCTCGTAACGCGACTCTCAATTAGCCGGCCACACCTGACAGCTGCAGATTGAGCTGTGAGTTGAGTCGAGTCGACTGGAGTCGAGAAAGGTATTTCGCCGGGGCTCCCAGATACTCCAGATACTCCCGATACCCCAGACCCCGACCAAGATCACCCCTTCGCTCGAAACCCCCTTTTGCCCCGGCCTGCAAATATTTCTGGCGCACGAGCTGAGCGAACTAAAATGTGCAATCTTCTTTAGGTAGGGTTTTGCTTTTCATTGCTTCACAAAAACAATATGTTATAATGCAATGCTTTTCAGTTTAGTTGATATCAAAATAAAATTAACTGTATATTTATCCACAGAAATCTTTACATTTTATAATGATTGCAAAGTAATTTGGAATCTCTATAAATTTCTTAACTCATATGTATACTGAAGTCTAATATAAATATCCACAGATTTTAAAGTCGGTTGGTTTGTAACTTGATTTAAAGGGGAACATGTGTCATGTGTGAAATTATATATATGCTTACGTACATATGTACATTCCTCACCTTCCACACGCCTCTGTTTAAACAAGTGTTTTTTCTGCGGTTGATTCTATTTATCCCCCGAAAACTGTGTTACCATAATAGCCAAGGCACCCATTTCGCTCTTTTTAACCCATGGGAACCAAATACTTCACCGCCAGTCCATTGATAACCAAGGAATCGATATCTAGGTTTGTTGTGGGTAGACCGCAAGAGCAAAAAGCACTTCGGTGGACATGGAGATGCAGCTTGGCTGCTCCGAGTCTTTCCTACTTCACCCCCCCGATTTCTCCGATCCTGCAGCCCATATAAAAGCTCATTAAAAGCATAAAAAAAAGAGTAACCAAGCAAGGCAGCAGCTACTGTACGGACCTTGGTTGATTTTTTCGATTTTTAGTTGCCACATATTCCCCCCCAACCCCACAATGTTTCGCCAAGAGTTGCCGCGGAAAAAATCTTCTCCGAGGGAAGAAAAGCACAAGGAAGACCGAAACAGGTAAGTCAACAACAGCCAACCAATTTGCAGAGATAAAAAATGCGCACGATGTTTGTTGTTGTCTTAAAATCATTTAGCCATAAACATAAAACCAAAGATCAATTTAATTTATAAATTTTAACAAATTTATAAAACGTTTAAACGTTTTCAACTGCTCATTTAAGCAAAAACTAGGTTTTTGATTTAAAAAATTTATTTTTTTTTGGCAGGGTATGTATCGAACTGGCTAATTCCATAGGTTAACCCTAAGGATAAGAAAAAGGGCATTAGGGTTTGTCAATTGAATCATAATGATTAAGTTAATATGTAGCTATTTATTTAAGTAATCGTTTAAAGCTTACAACATACCATTTTTTTTTAAATAGTTTCTTACTTAATTTTATTTTTATTTTTTATTTTCTCAGTGTACACATCCGTTCGGGCTGCGCACGCGCGATGTTGACGTCGGCGTCCTCTGCTGCGTTTGGTTGCCTTAATAGTGTGTGTGTTTTGTTTCCTCTTTTTTTTATTTTGGGGCCTTGGAGCCTTGGCAGCCTCGAATCTCGTGCCTCATGTTGCTCTTCTTCTTGCTGCAAGCCGGTATTTAGAGGGTATCAGAAATGGGATGTCCAAGCAAGAGCTTATAAAAACAATATAAATAAATAAAAATATATATAATTAGTTATTAGAAGGTTCTGTTCCTTAAATTTCTTTTCGCCGGCTTGGTTAAAACGAAGTATACATTTTTTGAACTTTGAAATTGCATCCCTAACTTTCCATGGTATATCCAAGTCGAGTCCATTCCTGTGCATTGTTGCTGCTGCTGATGATGATGACGATGCTAAAGATTGCAATCACGTTGCGCGCGGCGTCCAGAATTTGTATCTGCAAGATACATCTGCGACTCCTCGACTCCCTGCTCCCTGAATTTCATTTCACTGGAATTTATTTAGAACACATTGTTGCTGCTGCTGTTGGATGTTGCTGCTGCTGCTGTTGCTGTTGCTTATGCTGCCGGGAGCTTAGCTGAGGAGCAGCAGCAGCAACACAGCAGCAACATGCAGCATTCCAAAGCCCAAAAAAGGCAAATCCCAAGCTACAGCAGCGGCTAAATCGATTGGCAGCCTGAAATTTCACTGCAGTTTAGTCGGATTCCCCCTCGCTTACTAAAAATTGAGAGAAATGAGAGAGAACTGATCGGTTCGAATAAATTGAATCGAATCGAATCGAATGAGATGCCATAGAGTCTCGACGCCGACTGGAAATGGAGTGAAAGTAGGGTAGGCAGATTAGACTCTGTTTTGAGACTATGGCTTCAAACTCTTTGGATTGGATCTGACTCTAACTTGGCAATCTATAAACACTTGTCTTTATGTATGGGTTTAATTCTAAGTTGTATACTTGGTCACTATGGCTGCTATTTTAAAAATACTTTGTTCATATTGGTTGACAGATTGTCAGTAATTCGTTTCATATACTCTTAAAACATGGTTGTTTCAAAATAATCATTCTAATTGAAATTATTTTCAAATTATTTTGCTACGCTTGTTTTCCTTTGAAATCAGAATATTTTCAGTTCACATAAACAAAACTCCGCCTTGCAGTCAAAGGTCAGAGTTGAAGTTATCGCTCGGCCTGAGCAATCAACTGTGGAATTACGCCCATTCACCTCACCCAAAACTTATTTACTTTCAGTGACAACAAAAACAAGGCCCAAAGGCCAGCGATTCGAATAGGAAGTAAGTTAGTGTAACAAAAGTAATAAAAATACCTGGGACAGAAGGTACGCTGATGGGCTAAGCACGACGTGGTGAAAGAGGGGCTCTCCATTAACATTATCGTGGCCAGCAGAAATATTTGACCATAATAAAAAGAATACAAAACAAAGCGAATCGAATCGAGCAGCGAATCGAAGTGTGGAAACCCAATCGTCAACTCATCGAAGCTTACGATACCCTCGATCGAGACTGATAAGGGGTTCGGTTGTGCTAAAATGCATGTTCAGGTTTGGAGTTGTGGAATAGGACTAAAAGTATCCTGTAAATTACTATTTCCATTAATAAATAAAATGGGAAACTGCTGCATTAAAAATTTATATTTTGCAGATTATTATTATTTTTATTATTTAAAATATGGAATACTTCTAATAGGACTTCTTTTTTTTTAAGAGATAGACATGCACTGGAAAGAATAACGATTTAAAAATTGGTTATTTCTTATAACATGAATTAAGGACAATATCAATACGGTTGTAGAGCAGAAGATAGCTAGAGGTGCCAGCAAGAAAGGGTAGAAAGTATGCGTAAATCGGCGATATCGACAAGCGTTCGACTGCAATGAAGCGTAACGAAAACACACCAGAAACAGCCACACATATGTACCATTTCAGAGGGTTGGGGCCCGTTGGGTTATGAGAAAACTTTTAGGCCTTCTCTCCGTATCATCATTGCCAAAAAAGACCGAAAAAGCACGAGCATTTATGAATAGAAAGAGGATCAATAGCAGCTGCTCTTGGATAAAAGATAACTTTGTAAAAAAAAAAATTAATAAAAAACCGCAAA